CATATCCATCCCCATCCCGGGCAAAGGCTTCATCACACTGCTTCAGTATTTGCCTTCCCACTCAGCTTCCCTCCTCCCCAGCATTATCTCTCTGGGAGATTTTAACTTCCTCCAGGGCCAGCCAATCATCTCTGTCATCTGGCCTAGCACTCCTAGGTTATTAACCTCTAACCCCCTGTGGCTGGGCTTCAGCTCCTGAGCTATGCACCTTGTTACAAGTTCCCTAACTCCTTTGTTACCACTGGAGGGGAGCAACTAATATGTGATTTATTGAGAACACCCCCTACCTGCCTTCACCCAAACTAAGAGCAGTGTACTTTTCCAGAGTGTAAGCCTCACATTTGTTTAGCTTCAGTTTCATTTTAAGCAATGGCCGAGAGTTACTTCTGATCTCCTTATCTACTTAATGACTTTCAGGTCATTTGGAACTACTCCACTCCCTGCCTGGGTGAATGTAACTCATCCAAGTATTCAAATATTCCCTAATATTCAACTTAAAATGACTTCTGGGAAATGTCCTAAGGAAGTAGTTAGAAAATGACAACACTCCTATTGATGTTTTAGCCATCCTAAGAAATAGAGTTAGATGGTATATGCAGTGTTACCAACTCTCATGAATTTTGGCATTGTTCTTAAAGTCTTCACTTCAGGAATGTGAAAAACTTAGTTCTTTCTTTTATATATAATATATATTAATATTTATTTATTAATTATATGTATATATATATATGAATGAAAGAATTACGTTTTTCACATTCCTAAAGCATAGACTTTAAGAACAATGCCAAAATCATGAGAGTTGGCAATACTGCATATGATGGCTAAAAAAACCTATCAGTAGTATGGAAGTCTCTAGGAACATTTAAGATTCACTTGGCTGTATTTATGCAATTTGTCCCTGGACCTTCCCTCCAGATCTCTGTGCATGGAAGAATTCTTGAACTTAACTTTTACTTCCAGGATTGTTCAATAATGTGGACCACATCTAGACCACAAATATAGTATACTTGGCTGTTCCAGGGGTACAATCACGGGGGAGCAAGAAACCCTCCCCACGGTGGGGACCTGGCATGGGGGTAACCCACACCGAGAGGAAAACCCCCCAAATCAGGGTTCATTTACCTGCTTTAGGACACCAGACACAGGACGAACTATGCCAGGAAGAAATGCCTGCGTGGTTCGTCAGCCACGCTTATCTACAGCTGGAGCTGGCATGGGCAGGTGATGTCATTAATGACCGCTGTTCAGCTGGGATAAAAGCCAGCACCAGCAGGGAAGAGGGGAGAGTGTGGGAGACACTGGAGGCTGCAGAGGCTCTCCACACTGGCCGCAGGCAGCACTGGTGTGTAAAGGAAGATCCTGCTTGGAAGGGTACATCTAAGGCGTGGAGGCTACAGAAGCTCTCTACACTGGTCATAGGCAGCACTGGCATGCAGGAGAGGATTCAACCCAGGGGAGAGTGGAGGAAGATCCTGACAGAGGCCTAGAGTGGGGCAGTGTAGGGGGACATGGCCAGGCACAGGCTCTAGGGCTGGGAGTGAGGAAGGGCTATTCAGCCTGACCTCTCCTTCCTCATCAGCCCTCTTTTCTTTTGTGTCCTTCCTTTTTCCCCTTTTTGACTGTGGGTGTTCCTTTGTTGTTTCCTTTTTGTCCTTTTTCTTTTTTCCATTGTCTGTAGCCCTACTTCGATGGGGTGTGGGTGATACCCTAAAAACAGAAGCTGCACACAGGAGTCATCAGGCAGCTGGTATACAGCTGGAGAGGCATACAGGAGAGGTGGACACCCAGCAGGCCCCAAGTTCAATAGTAAGAAAATAAAACCAGTTACCAAAAAGGGCACGAAAAGTAAGAACCAACAAGACCAGAGGGCAAGCTGCATCAAGATCAGGTGGCCTGTTGGAGCCTGGCCTAGGGGAGGTGGAATCTTTTCCAAATTGAAAAATTAATTGGTCTCCTGATTCATAGAATCATAGAAGTCGGGTCAGAAGGGACCTTATAGATCTTCAAGTCCGACCCCCTGCCTGGGCAGGAGAAAAACTGGGCTCAAATGATCCCAGCTAGGTAGGCATCAAGCCTCCTCTTAAAGACCCCCAGGGCAGGAGCCAGCACCACTTCCTTTGGAAGTTGGTTCCAGATCCTAGCTGCCCTGACCATGAAATAGTTCTTACGGATGTCTAATCTAAACCTACTCTCCAACAACTTGTGGCCATTATTCCTTGTTATGCCAGGGGGCGCTAAGGGAAACAAAGTCTTTCCCAAACCCTTCTGGTCCCCCCTAGTGAGTTTATAGACCGTCACCAGGTCCCCCCTCAGCCTTCTCTTGTGAAGGCTGAACAGGTTCAGGTCCCGCAGTCTCTCATTGTAGGGTCTGCCCTGTTGTCCCT